GATTATAACATGACAAAAGCATTGTTTGCTCGACTAACGCATTAAAATTTGATTGCACTATGTTCTCGAAGAAAAGTCCGAATAAAACATAGTGGAATCAATCGTAGATAACAAAACGGTGACTGGAAAAATGTGGAACTAGTGCGTACCGGTGCAAGATAGCATGCGCACTGGTAGTACCGGCCGTTTTTCAGTCCTGTACTGCATTTTGAAAATATATTTTCAGATCAAATCTGCTACGATAACGTAAACGATGAAAATACGTCAGGGTTACTACAGTTTACGACGGTCGTATACTTTGTTACGTTCTGATTTTTTTTTGAAAAATTTGACTTGTCGTAAACGATCGTATACGACTGACGTAACTACATCGTAATTCATCGTTTACATACCGTCGTATCTGTCAACGTTTACGACTGACGTATTTCGTCGTAATTTAATGTATATTGTAGTATACGATCGTGAGTCCTCGACCTGGGTGTAGAGAATTGAATTTTCTACAAAATGGAGTATTTTTTTTGGACGTTACTTGCTATGTACAATTTGGACGTAGTTGTACAGTTTCCGACCGACTGTCCAGTTTTTGAACTCTTATTCTGATACAGCAACTTGATTTTTGCACAGATCGATCGGATATACAAAGAACACAGGAAGCTGTGAAAATCAAACTTTCCCATCGTGTTACCTCAAATATTTTGCTCCAGAAGTTTCCTTTTCACATAATTAAACTTTACAGGAAATTACAGAATTCCCAAGAGCGCTCGAAAAAAAGGCTCTTTTTTCGTACCGCCGTGACGCGACACTAAAATCCTTCTTAAAGCCCAGTGCAACATCCAAAATATTTCGTTTTCACAGCATAAGCCCAGCATGATGAACTGCGTCGATTGACGTTCGAACGAACTTTCTAGCGACTTTAGTTTCTAAGATAACCGAAGTTTAGTGCGTCAAAAACGTAATGCCATGACGTTTGGACAAGCCGTATACAACATATACTTTGTACACACGACACAGAGTCAAGGACTTAAAATCAGAAGTCCTCATGGCCCCCATAAAGCATAACTCATTCTACACTTTGTGTCTATCTTTTTTTTATGTATATTACTTTATGATTTACGCATTGTATTCTGTTGTGTGTAATTGAGACATGCGAAAAATTTTGTTGATCATTTATATCTAAAAACGTTTGGTGACCCAAAAAAGTAACACTTTTCTGTTTTGATTAAGCAACTCTTATTTTTAATAATCTAGAAAATACAGCGTATATAAAATCAGGCAAATTATGGATAAAAGTTTGAGATGCACCAAAAATATTTATGCTTGTTACCTCGCGTATTAGTGATATCAATTTGACCGATCGATCAATTAATTAGTAATGATGAGTGAATGTCTAACAATAGTGATAAATATTATTTCTAACCAATACGACAAAAAGTATTCCTTTGGCTTAGCCCAAAGATCCAGTTATTTCTCTGGAATTGGAGCCGAAACACTTTTACTGCCATGTATGTTCAAAAAAGAATCAATGTATGCCTCAAAAATAATAAATGGTTATTGTCAACTTGTTTCAAAAAATATCTGTTGCTATCCTCAACTAATTGCATTATATGTAGACAAATAATGCAAAATGCTTTAAGTTGATGTGCAGAAAATTCCTTGAAAATAGCAGATATAGAATTTTTATTTGTCAGATTATATCAGACATGCTGTTGATTATTTTAATGTATTTATTTCTAATAAATCCATGTATAGCGATTGAAATAACGTTAAAAATGCATGAACGTACATTGATAGAATTTGAGCAAGATACTCATTTGACCGATGAAGCATACAGTGTTTGTCAGACAAATGGAGTTGTTAGTTCAACCGCTACGTCAAAAATAGATCCCACATGGCAGGCCTGTTGTGGAATTAGTCCAACAATTAACAACTTTAAATTTAGTAAAACTTTTCTGCCTTATAAACGAGTTAAACGGGTTTCACACGGAACGCCAACAAAACCGGGCGATTGGCCTTGGTAAGTTTTAGAAAAGTGTAGAATCGCGAGTATACTGCACACCAAATCAACCTTTCTTTTCATCTTATAGCTTGTTTCTTGAGGTGGCAGTATAGATCAAGACTTTTTTCACTTCTGCAACAATGTTGTAGTGCTAATATTTGATTGTCTAGCTCCAATGCCGATATATGTATGAGTATAAGTTTTGTACAAAAACAGGTCATTGGATCGGGTCCGGTCGGATATTTCTAATTCCCTACGAGTTGAAAAGCGTATGCATTTTTTAGGTCTGTAGAGCTTTCCGCACGAATCTATAGAACATTCAGAGATAGGATACAATACAGTAATATTATTACTGCATGTGGCGCAAGTTTAATTACACAGTATTTTGTGAGTATTTTGTTTTTTGAACGAAACAGAAACCATTTCTGTACATGATACTGTTATCTATACAATAAAACAGTGGCCATGTTTAATTTTTGAACGGAAAAAGCTAGAACCATGGGGATTTCCAGTATTCAATAGAGAACATTTTGGGAAGTAAATCTATGGAAAAACTAGGATTCCTGACTAGGTCTACTATGGTGTACCTTTCGAAACAAAATGTCCACGTCTGACATTGCAAAAATCTACATAGCAAAGTACGGTTCTAAACACATGTGGATATAAGACTGCCGGTCTGCAACCTGGAGCAAGACCAAAGGTTCCGTCTACAGCTTAAGAACGTTATTTCTCATCGGAGATTTCACCTGAAGATGTTCAGAAGTTTTCTGGAAAATCTATTAATGATTAGCTCTGTTTTTTATAGTTCTCATCATCAGATCGGATAGAACAACTTTTCTTATGCTCACTTTTCAACTTTCATGCAATTTGGTTAAAAATGAAGGTACTAGAAGCTTTTTATTTTAATACGGTTAGTAGAAAAATCGAATTTTCTGAAAAACTCATCGTTTAAACTTTCTTTAATTCGGACAGCAAAACAAACATTGACACGAGATTCAGCGTGCACGAAAACCGATGTACCATGTACTACTGAGGTTCCGAGAATTCAGATTTAGCCGATAGGTAGGTCTCCAGAAATTACCTGTAGTACCCGAACCACGGTAAACGGAACCTTTGGGCTTG